AACTGCTCAGCCATCTCCCAGCCCTAGTAACAATTAATCGACAAAATGTAGTTTAAAAGACAAGTGCATCTATTATATTATTCAATTACAGCCTAAAAAATATAGATATACAGTCATTAATGTACTTCTAAATCATTTAAATAGTTGCAATAGATTCATTCGATTGGAATCAAAGTTTAATGATGAACAACAGGACGGCAGTAGCAACAATGAACATTTGACACGTGGCGTTCAGTAACGAACAGTTAATTCTTGAACGTTTTGGATTATACATACTCCATCTTAAGTAAGCTATATTGAACATAGTAAATTATTAGGTAAAGGCATTTTATAAAGTTTAAACATTCTATAAAAAGTAATTAAAATACAGAATAAAAGTATGAAATAAATTCAAAGACAACCATATAAACAAAGAATAGAATAATACAATATTATACAAGTTATTAAAGAACAGATTTAATTGTAGTGAAGTTGTGTTATTCTTTAAAGTTTGGAGTTCATTTATAATGGATAAACTTTGTTTAATTAAAAGTTCAATATTGGATGATCCAGATAAGATGACTTTGAAATTCATAACCAGGAGTGGGTGGTTAGTGTTTTCACTATGTGTGCGAATTGTGGAGTCTGGTGGATTTGATAGTTATTTACCAATTCTGGTTTTACAAACAATACTGCTATGAATATTATTGAAATAAATAAGAACACAAAACAAATCTCTACAAAATCTTTAATAATGATACTTATTCAAATTATTAGCTATTTATAATAAAAGAAAAGGCTATGTTTACCACTCGTTCATTTCTATAGTTTTTTAAATATTTCTTCCACCTTTGATGGTGTTCTCAATAATAATTGGCCTGAATGACATCCAGGTAGTTTCCAAATGGGTGTTTACTAACTGAGACACTTCCTGGACACCGGACAAAGCAATATTTTCAGTGAGAAGTTTATTTATTGTAATATTAATATGACTAAAAAAACACTGTTCATGCTTGAAATTCTTTTTTCTCAGAACAAGTTACAATGAACGCAAGATACCTCACATGGGCTACTGTTTCTATTAAATCATTAGGTGGGGTTCTCAGCCATAGTTTCTAAAGTCTTGGGGGGAACAGGAGGTCATCAAGCTAAAAAGTTTGTGGACCCCTGCACAAGGGTAAATATTCTTCTATTTAAGTGTCCAAAATGTAAGGAAACAATTTTGAGATTTGGAAACTTTTTGTGACACGGAAGATGGCAAAAACTGGGAAAAAATGAGATGAAAAGAGAAAAGTAAAGAAATAGAGAAGAAAAATAAGAAATAATAAAATAGGGAAAATAAACCGTATATTGACTACTGGACTTTGTCTTTGAAGTCATACCATTATCACACAGTTCTCAACCAGTCAGACGCAGTAAAAAATTAGGGAATAATTTTAGGTCCCTTGATTAAGGATGTGGAAAAATCAAAAATATGCCTTTAATTACAGTTAATGTACCTGCTTATAGAATTCTACATTTGCCAAAATATTCAGTGTCCATTTTAACTTCAGTAATGATTTTCTTTATTCTCTTCAAGTTATAGATACACAAGTCACCTGATCTTTGTAACTTATACACTCCACGCTTCTAATGCACTATAAACTTCTATAACATCTCATCTTTTTTTTTTACATGCTTATAAACAAAACTTATTGCTTCGAGTGAGAGTTTTAAAAGCTTTACTTTTTATGAATATTATACAACTGCTCTCCATTCAAAAACAACTACTGCAGTGTATATATATAAAAAACAAGTCAGGTTTTCAAAACTGAAGCTCTTAAGGTTATGAAACTTGCATCTTTAACACGCATTAAATATTATTTTGTTTAAAGCAGAAAAAAAAAGTTATGAAATAATAGAAACTTATTCTTACAAGGAAAACACCGAGCATATAAAAAAATGCTTTTTTCCACAATCTTTTAAAGCATAGTTTAATACTCCTCAAATACTTTATATGTACTTCCCATCTTATGTAAACATCTCTTCCCCGTATTAAAACTGTCCATCAAATCTAACCAGTTCATCAGTTATTCATAGTTAACCCCAAACAAAACCTTCTCCAAAGTGAAAAATTAACATCAAAGTCAAACTTAAAAATGCTTTATTCCCCCCCCCCATAAATTTTCTTTAATTTTTTTCCTCAAAGTACCAAAAGCTCCATATTAAATAATAATACACTACAAATCCTTTAACTGTTCCACAGTAGTGCTAGGACAATCAGTTGTGTCTCCCTTAAATGTAAACAAATTATTTTCGTAACAGAAAAAAAAATTTACCATCTTTTCAGTGGGTTCAAACATTTTTACAGTTAAAAGTGACTGTATCTTCATACTTTATGGTATATAAATTAAAAAACGAACACAGAGTAGGTCATATGACCCCTTGTCCATGATCCCCAATTATGAATACTAAACATCAACTCATTTTATTTTCCCTCTTCTTGTAACTCAATAATAGAGGGAAGAGTATGAAGATACAAGTTGTTATGGGCCTTTTAAACAAATCAGTGTCGAGATGTCTTACTGCAAAACATTGCTCAACAAACACATAAGATCATTTCTTTCAATTTTAGTATTCTAAATAAAATATGAAAATCATATCCAGACCAATGTAATTACCTGTCACTGCTTATTTCATAAGTTTCAGTCTTCTTCCACACACTTTTTGTATTTAACTTAAAATACATAAACAGAAGAAACAATGTTTACACACAAGTTCAACAGAATCAATAGTATTATTGTTGTTACTCAAAACACGTTTTTTTTTTTTCTTGTTGATTTTTTATTTGCTTCTGACATATCAGTTCTGTCTATTATTTACTTTTGTCTTTGACTAAAATCATTACATCTTACTAGATGTTCAAGTTCATACTTAAGGTGTTTCTTCAAGACAAAACAGCTTTACAAAGTACTGGTCATTAGAATTTCACAAAAGATGAACCAAAATAAATAAATAAAGAGTAATATTACCAAGATAGAGTAAACAGAATACAATAAACTTTTAGCATTTTATCAATTACACTACTGTGAATTATTAAAATTTAAATGGTTGCTTATATTACTGGCGATTTTTAATGTCTGACAACGAAATAAAATGAACTCAATAGCCAATGTCTTTGTTATTTGCGGGGGAGGCTATAGCAACATATTCCATTACATTTTTCTTTTGTTGTTAAATTAAAAGTAATAATACTGATAGTGATATATCAAATTTTTGTTTCTATTCAATTCCAAACGACCACATAATGCCTGAAAATTAATTTGTCAAAAAAATATTATCAGTCATGTTGCCAATGCCACCAGATTCTCAAACGCTTGGCCAACATTTTTTGAGACACAACTTGGTATCGACAATCGAAGTATACCAATTTTCACAATTAAAACTGATTAATTTCTTAAGAACTATTCTTACTCCTAGAATTTAAGTTTCATGTATCAAATTTTTACATCTTAATGATTAGCAAGTACTTAAAGTATCTACTACTGAATTTACCTTAATTCTTTACACTATTGGGAAAATTACGATGTCCAAACCTTCGCGTTACAAAACACTTGCTACAACATCTAAGCTCCAACACTAGCGCCACTAACTAATTCCCAGGCACATCAGAATGTAAGAAACATTGGAGGGGATGTGTGTGTGTGAGGGGGGGGGGGATTGTCTGAAAATCAATAAAAACGCTTTAAAATGTTAATCAACAATTCCACACAATAGAAAGAACTGTATTGTACATATAAAAGACAAACTAAATTGTTTGCTCTGCATTAGAAAATCATAAGTCATACAGAGAATAAGGATGTTTCAGACCATAGCCAGTATGCACATTATACGGATACACAAAAAACTTACCAACTTTTAGTTCTAAAGTTCAAAGCTACACACTGGTTTCTGCTTTGCCCATCACGAGCATCGGAACCCAATGTTTAGCGTTATAATCCCACTGAGACACCTGAAAGCAAGTTACAAACAGCGAAATGTTTAGAATATACCAAAGAAATGTACTCTCCTTTCATTCTAATTGTTACGTCTCCGTTTGTTAATTAATTTTCCGTAACTTCGTTCCAACGAAACTTAAGCGACACAAGTCCTTTCATAATAATACTGGTTTATTCTTTCTGAATATAACTTTACCGATACACTTATTTTCAACAGTCGCTCTATAACAAACGCTATAACAACGAACGTTAACTTCAACAATACTTTCTGACTGCAGTTCAATTACTCACT